ATGTAAAAGTGTTTTCTAAAATGTAAAATTGTTTTCAACAAAACTTGTTAAAGTGTTTTAGATTTTGTAATCTTGTTTCGCACCTCCAGGCCACGGTAGCCAACGGACTAAGGAAAATTTACTTGGTAAGATTCTTAAATACTTGATTTGACTCAATTTTTTCTTATTTCAAGAATCTTACCAAGTAAATTTTCTTACTCCATCGGCAGAAATTTTTGACTTAATTTGAGTCAAATTTTCAGGCTAACAAGACAAATACTCTTACACATTCTGAAAACAAGATTATTATTCTTACACAATCAGTTCTTGTTTAGTAAATCAGTCTCAAAACAAGATCAAAAATACTTTTTGCCTGGATATAAGGTTTTAAAACTTGGTTAGGTGGACAGTTTTTGCCGTGTTAGTCCCATTATTACAGTGAAAGTAAGTCTTTCATAAATAATTTCTAATGTTACAGCTAGTCGAATATCCTTTTGGAAACAAAAAAAAAAAAAAAAAAAAGAAAGCAGAATCTAGAATCTAACACAGACATGATGCGTGTCCCCTGATTATTTCAGGCTTTCACAAAGCTGACAGAAACAACTCTAACTTTTTCTTTGCAGGTGTTTTCACATCCAGTCTTCCAGAAGTGGCCTCACCATTTTACTCCCCCGTCCTGTTCAGGCCCTCATTGATCACCTCCAGTGACAGCTCAGTTAGCCATCTGAACACTGGTGGTCTCCCTTCACCAGGAAGAGGCAGAATCAGCCCAACAGGCCGACGTGAGTGCCATGTGGACAGCCTGTGTGGCTAGAAAGAATAAATTGAATTTTACTTAAGCTCAGATAAATGCTTTCATCATTTCTAAACTGCAGCCACACTGGAAATCTTCATGGCACCTGGTGAAGGAAGAAGAAGAAGAAGAGAGAAAAGGTCATTTCCACATTTGCTGCCTTTTATCTGAAGCGGACAATCAAAACTAGCTTCTAGTTTCTCCTCTGTTGCTGAGTGAGTCAGCTGCTTGGTTCACTTCTGCAGCCAGCATCCTAAGAATCCCCCCAGACCCCCGCTTTATGTCCACGACCTGCAGCTGACCTTTCAGAGCGATCAGGCCTGACCCCAGGCCCTGACTCCTCTGAGAAATAAGAAGCACGTGAGAGTAAGGCACACAGAGCTGAGCATGTCCCATCAGGAATTATTTATGGGGGCAGAAGCATTCCCTTAATTATAAATGTTTTTAAGAGCCTTCCTTCAAATTAAAAATGATAAACGGCCTGTGAGACTTCCAACATCAACTTAAAGAAGCTGCAGTTCTGCAAAAAATTCAAGAATTGTTTGCAGCTTCTTAAAGGTCCAACCTTCGTAATTTTACAGCCGTAAACTTTATTTTATCAACTATCCAGTTGTCAGTTTCAAGAGAGGTAATACTAAATTCCCCAACCTTTTATGTTGCTGAAGAGTCTGTTTTGTTTGATCTGAATGCTGATTCAGCATTCATGTAATTGTTTTTCCTGTTTATAGTTTTTGTTTTTGTACTTGAATCATTTCAGCATTTGTGTCATTTTAACCATTTTTATTACCAACATGTTCAGCTTGTGCAGATTTGATTTTTGTAATTTTTCTAGATTTTTAACCTTATTTGCAAATATTCAAATCTTAAAATCATTCAAAAGGTTTTTCAGCTCCAGTGTAGGCCTACTTGCTTTCATTTTATGTTCCATTCAGCCAGTTTTCTAATTTGAATTTTATGCTGATTTTTTCATTTTTTGCTATTTCTAGCTACTCTTCTGCTTTTCAAATACTGTATTCTGACATTTAACTATACTGCTAAATTTAGCTTTTAGCTAATTAGCATTTAAGTAGTCTTGCTAAATTTAGTTTGTGTTCAATCTTTTGTTTTTTTTTCTTTAAATGCAGTTTCATCCCAAACTTTTGCAGAAAAACACCAATTTTCTTTCATTAAAAAAAAAATCTGTTCTTGTAAATTTGCACTGCAAATTTCCATCAAGGAGTGACAACTTATTGCTGCTGGACTTGCCCCATTAGTGCTACAGCTAGCTACTGCTGCTATTTATTCTACAAAAAGAACCCTGAGGCTAAATTGACGAAGCTGTAAATGATTGTATTTAAAAATACTGCCGAGACAAAGACTTCACATAAAAAGTAAAAACTTTAATTAGCATTAGCATTATTTAGCACATATTCACACAGTCATTCACACTGAAATGTCCTGAAAGCTGTTCAGTAAGGCAAAAACAGGAAGCTCACAAACTGGCCAACATAAATACAACTTTGTCAATTGCTTTTTTTAAACTCAAATACAAAAATACGCCATTTAAAACCAAGTCACACTTTTACGTTGCAGCTACTTCTGTAATATGAGCCGAGAGAATGAACAGAAAAGGTATCAGATTTTCAAAAATGAACAAGATCACATTTAAGAGCTTTTTATAAAAAACATAATAAAAACTGAATAAAGGCTCATATTTTGTAGCTGTTTCACATTGATGAATATGGAAGAAAAAAAACTGCAAGTTTGAGGCTCAAAACATCAGAAGACAAATTCACCCCTCTCCTGAAATAAAACCAACCTTTTCTGTACTCTGTTGGAATTAAACACATTTACAGGGTTCATCACAAATGAGGACGGATTCATTGGACGGATCCAGTGGACGAGAAGTTTTTAAAACATAGTTGCTACAAAGATCATTTTATGCCCAGAAAAATAAATATGAAAAGTTCGTCTGTTTCCTGCCCAACAACAACAACAATATGGTTTCTCCTGAGTTACGGACGTTCACATGTCAAATATGAGAAGTAGCACAAACAGGTAATTAAAAAAACAACAAACTTTAAGCAAACGCTCATTTGATCTTCAAGCATTATTCAAAACAAGTGATTAATCAAGTGGCCTTGTGAAAAAAAAATCTATACTGTGTATGTGTGTATACAAACATCACAGAACACTTTCACACAAAAACACAAAAAACTTCAAATCAGCCCTGTGATCATCTTGGATCATTGTATAATCTAGAAAAACAAACAAACAAACAAACAATCATTTATACTTCTGTACCACCGTTTGAAGGCAAACAGGTTTTCTGTCTGATCTGACTGGCTTCACCCTGAGGCGGCGCGTTCTTCCTGCATTAATGGCCGACGGTGTGGTCATGGCGAATATGGAGACGGAGCCGAGGACTCATCAGGATTTGTAGTCTGGAGAGAACAGGCGCACTCTGGGACTGCTGTTTGGGCTGGGCCTGGGGATCACGTGGTTGTAGGAGTTTGTTCCTGGAGAGTCGAAAGCTGAAACGGTGTCAGATTTGAAATGATCAGTAAATGATAAACATTTTAAATCTTATACGATCCGTTAGCACTCAGTGTGTTGTGGATACATTTAAACCACACCCACACCAAATCTGAGCTTGGTGTGTTTAAAAACAGCCGTCTTGAGTTGGCTGGTGACTTTATATCCTAGCAAAGAAATGTAAAAACAGAAATATAATTCCCTGGAAACACGGCTGTTTGTTCAGACGTTATGAGCAGCAGATTTCAAACATGTTAATAAATTCTCCTTGATGTGTCACTAAAACTCAGACTGAGCTTTAAAGCCGAGCAGCGCCACACGTTCAGAGCTCAGAAGACGCTACGCTCCAGTAAAACATCGTTGTTCTTACCTGTCATGGGCGGTGGGGTCCTCTGGATGAACGCAGGGTGGTACGTTTGTTCCTTTGGAGAGAACAGAGAGTGGAGGACTGCGGGGAAAATAGATCAAACAAACAAACATCAGAGCTGTTTTAAGGGCCTTATTTAAAGTAAAATGGTTTAGTAACAAAATAAAAACATAGCTGTAGTAAAAAAAAAAAACCTTCATGCTAAAAGAATGACTGATTCAGCAGTGTTTTGTTCTGTTAAATACACTTCATTCATACTTGACTTTAGCAGCTTATGGGTTAGTGATTGTCAGCTGACAATCCATCGGCCATAAAGGGCCGCATGAAAATCCCATCTGACCCATAATAATTCAATTAATAATTAATAATTAGTGGTACCTCAAAACTGCTGCACACATTAAATTGGTGGAATCTTATGCTAAACTGCTAATATTGAACTTACTAACGTCAAACGTGTCAAAACGACACGCTGCACCAGCACTCGGGTTTAGTCTTTGAACACGCCTCCCTCTATTCATCCTGGCTCAGCCCTCTGTCATGCTGTCAGTTTTACAGTTAATAAAACTTTAAACACAAACCAAACCTGAACGTGCCACGTGACAAATGTAAGTCAACACAACTCAAAATGTTTCATACATCACAGAAGAAAACGTTCATGACTCATTCAGCGGAGGAATCTGAAACAAAGATGTGTGTCTTTGTTTCAGATTATTTTGTAACAAACTCAGGAAATCCTCTCTGTGGCAGAATCATGTCCGAACTGAAAGGGATGCTGGGAAAAGTTCTAAAAATTAATGTTTGTGTTTTCTTATAGTTTTGAATGTGGAGTTGTTGTTTTTCTTGATAAATTGTTGTTCAGGTTTTGTATAGAATTTATATTATAGCCTCTGTTATTGGCTGTAAACTGAAACCATGAGTTAGAGGTTGTGCTCTGTAAACAAGGAGACTGGATGCTTTGAGGATGATGTCACTGTGTGAATTGTGGCATTGCTTTGCATTATAGTATAGCATGCCATTATTAGATGTAAAAATGTACATCTGTGTGTTGTGATTAGATCGTGGTGCGATGTGTTTGAAACTTATTAGATGTATAGAAAATATATTCGTGGGAGTGGAGTCTTAACCGCTCTACAAAAAGTTTGCTCTGCTATTAGCAGGTTAGCAGATCCAAGCCCATCACTGAAGATGAACTGATTGCTTTGGGAACTGGCTGCATCCACGGACATAAAGAGTTAAAAGCAGCAGTTCTTTAGCCAATCAAACCCGCAGGTCACACGATCAGTCCCGATGCTCAAACAGCGCAGTGAGAGGACGTGCAGCTGAGCGCTTTCCACCAGTCTGGTTGATTAGCTCAGCAGGATGTGAGTGGCACCATTAGCTTCCATCTCACTTTATTTTTATGGTCAAGCTTGAATAAATGCACCAGTAAAGATTTCTGCTGTTTTACAGTTGTTGGAAGAGTTTTAGATGTTACGTTTAGGAAACTTAAAACGAGGAAGAAAAAAAAGCATACTGCCCACAGATAATCTGTAACGTTCAGACCTTAAAAGAAAAAGAACACAAAGGAAGAAGAAGTGACCCACAGCGTCGCCTCGTGCTCGGCACAGTTTTTGTTTGAACGTGGGCACGTAGTGCTGCCAGAGGAGCCGACACACATCGACGCTCCACTGCTCACACAAGCAATGAATGCAGAGTTAGCTGCTCGGGTTCAGACACATGCATCAAAACTCACCCAGACGGCTCATCTTTCAGCGGCACAACAATATGAACGGCTGACAACTTCTCAAGATGAAGAGAGGAAATCTCCTCACCAGATGAAATCAGTAAACTGATATAAACCCGATACAGAACCCGACTTAATGAAAGTCTGATTACAGAACAACTCTGATCGAGCACAGGAAGTAATACTTCATGAGGCTGTTGAAAATATTTATTTCAGTTTCACCTGGAGTGGCTTTTCAAAACGAACTGATGAACATGACGATCTCTTCGATCATTTCTGAAGTTTTAATTCTTGTTTTCATGAAACTGTCTGCATTTCTCCAATACTTCTTTTTTTTAAACATCTGACCTAAAAGACACCGTGTCCACTCATATCATTCCTCTGGTGACCAAATGTTAGACTAAAAAACCCTAAAAACTCAGAACAATTCAGCTTCTGTTGGTCTTTTCAGAGGACTGAATTTCAGACGAATATATGAGATAACCCACCGATGATGACTATAGCTGTACCAGCCAGCAGAGCAAACAAGGTGCAGAACATCATCTGGTAGGAGTTTATGAAGCTGTGCAGAGAGCTGCCCTCCTCCATGACACCAGCTTGAGGAGATGCTGCAGGGAGGAAACAAACAGGAAGTCAGAACCTCTGATATACTGAGAACATGGCACATAATATCAAATATATTTATAAGAGTGAAATAAGGTTACACTGGCTCTGATGGTTAAAATGTTCATGTTTCTGTCTCTTAGTTTAAAGTATCATGCTTTAAAATTCTTCTTTTTCCACATTTAAAATCATTCAGTATATAAAGTAAGACTGCAATACTTTGGTCTGAACTCCTCCTTACAGCCCCTCTTTTATCCCTTTTCTCACATCAACTCGTTTTGAGGCTGTCTCTTTAAATCCAAATAAGGCCCTTCACACCCCGACCCCCTCCAGCTTCATTTTAGTTTGATTGAGAGGTTTACGACTAAATAGCGGTGCTGAAACTTTTTATTTACAAATTAATTAAAAAAGGTGTCAACAAGGGAAGACTTGTCCATCCAGCCTTACATGTTGGCGACAGAGTCTAACCCAGAGCCAGAGTCTAACCCAGAACCAGAGTCTGACCCAGAGCCTAACCCAGAGCCAGAGTCTGACCCAGAGCCAGAGCCTGTCAGAGCCAGAGGAGCAAGAAGGCAACTAAACTGTAGTTGATAAATCCAGACCTTATTTGGGAGTTCTGTTGCAAATACTGTGATGTAATAGTTTATAAAAAGGTCATAGAAAATAAAGAACTGAATGGGTTGAAAAATACGACCCAAACACAATATAAATATATCTATGCAGCAACCTGAGAGACTAAATTCAACTTTTCTGCACTCCTACAGACTCCAAGCACACAACAAAATGCATTTAACAGCAAAAAAAATGGATTTAGCACGATACGTCCTCTTTAAAACATGTTTTAAATTTACACTGAAAATATTTCTGACCTTGCTTGGCTGTGCTGAAATCAGCTGAATGAACAAAAGTGAGTGGGATTACAAAACTCTGCCCAGAGGCGGAGCTGCTTATAGTAATGGAAGCTGAAGCTGCTGGTTGGGGGTCCACAGCACTAACTGTGTACTTGGAGTAACTGGGGAAGCCGTGGTGGACCTCCTTCTCTTTGACAACGATGCTGGGAGAGGTAGACACCACCTAAAAGACAACAACAAAATGAAACGCCACTTTTAAAGGACACGGACATCTTTTATAGCACATTTGCTCACTACATCTGACCTCCATGTTAGACAGGATGGTGGTGGGTCCGTAAACAGTAAACTCAGCAGATGGGTGCACGTTAGAGAGCAGCAGCTCGGTCTGGTCTGAGTACAGGCTCGGCTCTATGGGCAGCCTGGTGCTGACTTGCTCCCCGGTGAAGACGCCGCCTGCCAGGCCTGCCTTCACCAGCAGGTGGGCCATGGACATGCTGAGCACATGGGTCTGCCGCTCGGTCATAGGCTGCAAGGTCATGGAGCATGTGTAGAGGCCTGGGGGTGGGGGACAACGGACAGAATTAGAAGAAATCCATAATGCGTGCAGTCGTTTGGAACAAGACCTAGCAAAGAAAGAAAGCCACTGGACTCACTGGGACACCTGACACCTGAAAGATGCCAGGTCCAGTTCTCCCCGCAGCTCTAACCTCGTCTTTTCACGACACGTTCAAGAGCAGAGATGAAGCAGAGTGTTTATAGGTCTGAACACACGTAGATCCCAGCAGAGATAAACTAACAAACCTCAAACACAATCACATCAGTGCTTCTGAGCAACGTGGACTCTCCTCAGTTCAATACATCACTCGGACCCTTTTTATAGACCCCGCTAATTTCTTTCCTTGGGCAACACAGGTATCGATTCGGCCCTTGTAAACGCCGTTTCCCTGCTCCTCGTTCAGAGCACAGATATAAACTGTTAGATTTAAATGTATTTCTATTCTGCAGAACGGTTTATAAAATAAATGAACAAAATAGAGATCTATGTGTATGCAACCGTCCAGTCTGCAGTATCCTCCTGCCTGTTGCCTTTTTACAAACAGTATAGCTAAAAAACAAAGCAGTAGAGTGAAAATGTGGGGCATTTATAGCATTTTGTACACATCTTTAAATGCAGCTTTTCCAATAAAGTACAACAGCATAAGAACCCCTCGTGTGACAGCTGTATTAACTGACCTGAATAAAGGTTACATCAGCTCTGTGTGAAGAGATTAAAATGTTTGATTCTTCTAAATGCTCAGAATCTGTGCACCAAGTAAAGAAAGCGGCAGTCTCTGAACAGAACCAAATGTTCAGGCCTGAATTCAGCTCAACCTCACCGATGCTGGAGTCGAAGCCGACGCGTATTCTGAAGACGTCGTTAGCAGAGAAATCGACGGCGTCGCCCGTAAAGCCCAGATGACAGCTTACAGATGTTTCTGGCTGCAGCTGTGAAATGGCTTCCATCTGGGTTGGAGAGCAGGTTCCTGTAACGTAGCACACATTAAAGTCATCTTTAAAGTCCAAATAAATAAATGACTACACACAGCTTTTATTATTCATTCATGAGTTTGGGAGAACAAGAAGAGGACGGGTTGTTTAAAAAAAATGACTTATTTTGTATTTATCAAGAAGCAGCCTCTGCTCTGTCCTCATTCTACAGCTTCCTGATTATCATACTGTCAGAGCTGCACAAAAAGATGTTCAACAACTGTTTGTTGGGTCTGAACAGTTAAGCAACCAGATGACTACTCAGGAAGTTGCATTTTTTTAAAACAAAATCTTAATAAATTATCTGAATTTTACCTTTTTAATCAGTAAAAACAGAATAAAAAAAAGATTTTCTTTCTACAAATGCAAACACAAGACCAAGTGTTTGGCTGAAAATGTGTGAGATAAATTCTAAAACAGGTCAGGCAGGTTGTTCTCCCAGTATTTAATATATACATGTATAGTGCAGGGGTTTCATACAAGTGACAGCAATACTGAGTCATTTATAGTAACGTACGTGTAATTAGACAAATCTTAACTCAGTTTAATAAAGAGCTGCACGATGTGTTGTTTGAGCATCGTCATCACAACGTAAGTGTGTGCAGTAATCACACTGAAGAGGAGGCGGCAAAATAAAAACGTTATATACTAAGTCATTGCTCTAAACTTTACATGTTACAGCTTTTATTTTGACAGGTTGCTTCAGCCGGTTCGGATGTTATCAGTCCCATAAAATGGCTTCAGACTGTCCCGACAGTGCCCCCTAGTGGGTTACCAGTGCCATATACGTTGGATGCAACAATCTGCTCCCGCCGGAGTCCAGTCTACTTTATCGTAGTCCATTTCATTTCCTCTAAAATTAACCTTTGTGGTTTTATGCCTCACACTAACCAGCTGACAGTCTGAAGCCAGTTTATGGGACTGATAACGTCCATTTAATGGATGATAACATCCAAAGCAGGTGACAGCTTTGTGTTTGCTACCTGCGAGGAAACTGAGGGGGAAATC